TAATACTCAGAGTAGTCAATAAAAGTAAGCATTCTGTCAAACAGGAAAAGCCAAAATCAACTTTTTGATTTTAATGGAAAGAGACTATTGCTATAACATCATCACAAATACCTCTTTGTGAATCCCTGATCTGTTTTTTCACAGCAGCCCTTTAACTCCCACAGGGAACTGCTGGGGCTGCGATGTGAAGGTCGTATGAGTATAGGATAATACGTGTATCCTGGTGTGTGTGTGTCGTGTGCATATAAATGTTGGTGGCAGGAAGAAGCAGTCTGTATGTAGAGGAGGTGTAAGATTAAGTAAACTTATTTTAGTAGAAAAAAAATTATTTAATTGGCTTTAGAGATGCTTTAAAATTAAGAGTGCTCTAAAATTGCTCCCATATTCTCAAATTTTTCAGTATTTGTATTAAATCCAGATTAAATTCTATAGGCTAATATCTCCATAAATACCATTAACATTGAGATACAGAGTATATAAATCAGGAAACTATTTGATATTTTTTTACACACCATGCTACTTTACAACTAAGGGAAAGAATAATAAACCTAGATTAAGAGGTTTTTTAGAAGTATGAAAAACTCCCCACTACAGTAAAATCAGAAAATAAAATTAGAAATATATACCACATTTAGCATACTAGAATTTTCTTTCTAGCTTTGGTTATGTAAAGAATATATCTATATCAAGTTTCTAAGGTGAAGGTAAATGAGATTTATAATTTCCTATCCACGGTTTACTCTGTTCCTTCAATTCATGACATCATTAGATCCACAATGAAGAACTCTTAATATATGTGTGTATACTTATATATCAACCCTCTCCTTCTAGCTATTGCTTTTAATTCCTTGGAAGGAAGGTGAACATGAAATGATTTCAGCTTGGATAGAATCAGACAAAAAAAAAATTTCCTCCAAAATACAAAGCTGTGGAATAATTAAATATAAAGTTTTCACTTGATTAGAAAAACATTTAAGGGATAGACATTCAAAGTGGAGAGTGGTAAGTCAGCTAAACTTTCATTCATGCTAATGGGAGGCAGTTGGCTAAATTCATGGGAGGCAGTTGGCTAAATTCCGTGGACAATGCTTTGAACATACCCCCAGAACTTTAAAAAATGCTGTGAACCACATTAAAACATGGAATATTTTTAGATTATCCACTCCTTACAAACACAGCAAAGAAGAAAAAATGTAAAGACAGGCAATCTTTCTTTTTCCTTTTTTCTGTTCTTTTTTTTAAAGCACATATGAAAAAGAATGTGGGCATTCAATAACATTGCTCCTGGTTGTACATCTCCTGCATATTATACAGTTAGAAGCTTACAGAAAATTATTTGGTGCTAGGGTCTATGAACTAGTATAAAAAATACTAGAAAGATAAGTAGTGATCTTAGAAAAAATAACATTCTTTCATTTCAAAATTTAACAGCAAATATAGTATTTCTTTCAATAAGTCAGTAAGATTTTTGTATAACTTCTCTGTTGTTAAATATGTATATAGTTTTAGACAATATGACTTACAGATTCTAGCGCATCATTTTAAAATGACCACTTAGAAGAATGGAATGAAGGAGACATAGAAGCAGCCCACCTGGACAATGGTAGATTTATTAAACTACAAGCTCAAACAACTTTGTTGTTTAACCACACTACTTCTTCAGACATTAATAGAAGTAGATGATCTAGAACAAAGATGATACCTGCTAGATTATTCCCACAGTGATCAGACAACATCTAGAATATTATATTCCGTTGTCAGTGCTGGATGTTTATAAGAGTGAAAGGGCATTGACAACCTCCATCTCATCCAAAGGAATTTGACTAGAATGATACTGCCTGGAAATCAATATGAAGAAGAGAAGAGAGACTTACGATTGTATAATAATCTCATGATGATATTTGAAATTTTTCTCATGTAAGAAGGATGCTGCTTATTCTGTCCAGAAATAGAAGAGCTAGAGGAAGATTACACCTTTTTACAGAGCTCCCCAGAGGGGAATGGAATACTTTTTAAAACAGGATGAGCTTCTTATCCCAGAAATTGAACATAATTGAAAATGTACAAGAATTTTTTGCATTTGGAAGGAAGTTGGACTTCAATAGTGTTTCTTTATCCTTAGTGATGTTCTGAATTGCTTTTGTGTCTTACCATCTTTATGGATTGAACACACGTCTCATATGTGTGAACACACGTCTCTCCTCTATGGGCAGGTGGGTTCTTTACCACTAGTGCCACTTGCGAAGCCCCATTATCATCTTTGCCATTATTTTAGTACAGACCCCCTCAGCTACCTGCTTAATGAATGAGAATCTCCAGAAGATAAGATAATAAGTGTTTAACAAAAAAGAAAAAGAAGATTACCTACCTAAAGATATAGAGTCAACAGGGTTTCTAGCTGTGTAATTTTCATGATTTCTGTTACGATTGTGTAGTATGGTGATTCTGGCATTCAGATTATTAGAGAAAAATTTAGATATGTTAGCGTAAATTGTCCACAAAATTTTGATTACATCTTCAAGATGAATCAGTCCAAATTTCATATTCTTAGAGATTTCCAGTATTTATTTAATAAATGTGTACTAAGGATTTATCATGTACTGTGTCAAGCCTGAGGATGAGAAACAGTTGTGAGTGATCATTGGGAATTTTGCTTTCAGAAAGTGGAGTTTATAGATACACACAAACTTAGGATTGTGAATAAGTAAATAATTTCAACTCATAAGACTAGTTTTTATGTCATTGTAGCATTTCATAAGATTTCTGGGGTTCGGATTTGACCTCCTCCATGGGAGTTATCCAATCTTGGGTGAAATTCTTAAACTCTCTTTTTTATAGTTTTACCTTTTATGAAATGGGGATAGTAAAGGCACATACCTTTTTGTGTATTGAAACGATTCAGAAGTCATCATGCTTTTAACAAAATGCTTGAAACGTGGCCATTAATTAATAACTGTTAGATATCATGAGCATGGTCTTGATTGTCCTCATCAGATGTTTTACACCTCTAGAGGAAATGCTTCCAAGGAGGCAAGACCTCTGTTCACTGGGGATATTATTTTTTATGATTTGCATCCAACTTTAATATAGAAACCATCTAGATCCCCAAAGTCAAATGAACACATGCCAGAAATTTGAAAATCAAAGAAAGACAGGGAAGAGATGGGAGACAGAAATCATGGAAACCCAGCATATCAGTAAAAGTGTGTGACAGCTTCACTGGTCATGAAAATATTTGGGTATCTCTTAAAGTCCAACTAAAGTATTGCTGTTAGTAACTTGCTTTATTAATCTGTTCTGTTCAGAAGACCTTTCTATATGTTCTGTTTCATGAAAAATAATGCATTAACTTGCTTGATCATGTTGAAATAAGTTTTGATCAAAATAACTATTTGCTTATGTCGTAGAAAATGGAGAGATTTTCCTAAATTCATTTAGGGTGAAAATACTTTAAATTCATAGATCACCTTCCTTGCTTTTACCCTCCTTATTTGTTTATTTTTTTTACCTAGTTGTTAAATATATTCCTGTGCATTTGGAATACAAGTAGATGAGTTCAATAATAATTTCTAGCACTATGTTTTGTAAGTTGAGGAATCCTTTAATAAACGTAAAGCCTAAATAATCTTTCTCCACCACTATCTGGCCTTGCATTTATTTTTTCAAAAGTAAGCAAGCAAATTCACTTTCATTTCCTGAAAGCCCTTTTGTGAGACATGTGACTGTGGTTTTTCAGTGTAGCACAATGTTTGATTGAATGTCAGAGGAAAATCACCCGGATCAAGTTAGAAGAACTAGTTTGACAGAGTAATGACATTAACAGCCCCTCCTGCTGGTTTGAGATAGATAGCTCAGCAGTCACTGACACCAATCATCATATTTTGGGTAAAGGGAGACACACGTCGTCGGATGAGCCAAAATTTAAACAGCATAGCCCTTGACAATTTAAAGATTAATAAAGTATGCAAATCATGATGGACAGCTGGTTAGACAGCTAGATAGAGGTCTATAGATATCTCCCACAGATTTGGCATATTTAAAGCAGCTTAGAAAGAACTATTTTAAAAACAACACTAAAGTGAGCATCTTGCCAATCATCGAAGCCCCACCTAAAGAATGATATTTGTTCAGTCCTGAAAATGGTTAAGTGGCCCTTTCAGAGTGACAGAGTAACGTCTCTACAATGTAATCTAGAAGATTCATTAACATATTTTGGCTATTAATTGAAAATAAGTTGTCTTTAAAAGTATGGCTTAAGCTTGGGTTTTGTAAGAGTATACCAGAGGCTACAGTAGTAGACTGAAATTCCTATGTAAAAAGAAATATAAGAAAATTATTCTTCTATATGTGTTAAGTAAATGATTATTCTGTTCTAATTATGATTTTAAAAAAGAAAAGAAAGCCAGATTGGATAAACATATATACTGCTGTTATGTTTTAGTGTAAGTCTAAATCTAGGGTAACAATATTGTAAAAGGCATATAATTTTCAAATTTCATATTCCAAGGCTGTGTCTCTGTTGCGCTATACCAAGCAGCATTTTCCTTGCTTTTTCCCAGCTCCTGCCATTTGTCAGGATTTTCTCTGTGCTTCTCAGTAATGCATGTGATCACTCTCCTTGGTCTTGTTTAAATAGCTGGTCTAAGATGCCTCCTATTTAAAATTCGTAGTATACAAATTTGACTTAGTGTTTCTTTTGCATGCTAGTAACTTTAAAGAAATTTTGACTGTAAAAAGAATCCTCAAGAGATTGACATGTATTGAGAGTATTTTATGTGGTCAGGCATGTGGGTTTTGGTGATCCATTCCAGTATAACAAACTAGAAGAATCTTTCAAATAATTATTTTTCAGTAATTGCTTGATGTACTCAGAATGAAATTATAGACCTCCCAATAGGAGCAGACAACAGCTAGCAAAACTTTGTAAATTCAGTTTCCCAAAAGTAAGGAACAAAAGTGAGAATGCGTAAATGTAATATCTGTTGTTTTATATATTCCAGATTCAGAACAATTTGTGGGCAGGAAATGCAAGTGGCGGTTCCGTGGTTACTTCATGCATGTTACCACGTGACACTTCCTCGTGTATGACACCTTACTCCCACTCGCCTCGGACAGATTCCAGTTACACAGGGTTTTCAAACCACCAGAACCAGTTCAGCCACGTGCCCCTCAACAATTTTTTCACTGACTCTCTTCTTACCGGGGCTACCAATGGACATGCATTTGAAACAAAGCCAGAGTTTGAAAGGAGGTCCTCCAGTATCGCAGTTCTTCGGATGAAGGCCAAGGAGCACACCGCCAATATTTCATGGGCCATGTAACATACAGTACTCTTTTCTTTTTCTCTTAATGGCAAAGTAAAACATTCTTATTTCTCCTATTTAATGGATACCACAATAAGCTGCTGTGTGTGGAATTGCTAAAGGTCAAGATATACAGTGAGACCAGCTTAAATGAATAGTTGTTATTATTTAACATTAAAATCTAAGAATGAACCTCTGAAAAGACTAAATAGGTTTACCATGCACCCATCTCCACAAACTCTGTTTTAGTAGTAAGATTTTTCTTTCTATTGTACGAGTCAATGAAATATGATCATGCAACTTCTTAAAAGAATAAATGTATTAAACAAATTCCTCTGTTATAGATTGATTTATGTTAGTTCTGTATAACAAGAAATCCCTTGTAAAATAATATCTGAAAAAGGAGGAAATGCACTGGGGAAAATGTCAAGATACTGAAGCTGTCAGGTAAATATTGAAGCAGGGTGTTTTGGGGAGTTAACTGCCATTTTTCCATCTCTGGCTCCAAGGCATAATGGGCATATCCTTTGTTGCTGAGAATTTATCTGGGCTTCGAAGATTTTTTACCTCTAGATGTTTTAGTGAATTTCCATGCAATGAAAAAAGAGCTCTTTGGAAATGACCAGCATTTACATGAAATACTTGGGTATCGTTTCCTGAAACCATGTGGCTAAAGGTGATAACTGAAATATCCTGATATGATTAAAAGTACAGTTATGAGAAGAGTTTCTATAAATAGCATCTTTTCTAATGAACAAGCCAGCACGGCCTCAGCGATGAGTTATCACACACAAAAAGAACATTGCAAAATCTGCTGTTGCATTTAAACTAGAATGGTGTCAATGAAACTACACACAAACATCTAATAAATACACTCAAATATTCAGTTAAAGGAACAGCAATTTGGAATGTATGTTTGTATCATGAGTATGTCCAAGTGCACATGTGTGTTTTTTTGACATAGAAGCTGTACACATTTTTTGCTACTGTGGTTTTGCACAGAATTAAAATGTCAGAAGCCTCTCAAATTTCTGGTGGAAAAGAAGAGAAGAAAAATACATTGCATCTGGAAAACTGCTAACCCCTTTGATTTACTTCTCCTCCCTTTCCCCTGTCACATTCCAGGCTTTTTCAGATGAGTGAAATGTCAGCCTCCTTGAAAGACTCTTAAGTTCATAAAGGCAAAGTAAATTAATTGAAATGAAGATGACTTCCATGGCTTGGATCAGAGCACGATCTGCTTTTTGTACTCAGAATCTTCCTTGTGGTTCCTACAGCCTTTAGGGATATGCATGGAAGCCCTCAAGGCTAAAGGACAAGATTAACTGATTTTTAAAAATTAAATTTCAGAAAAAGCACTTAAGATTCGGTAAGTGTCTCTAGTGGGAAAATATTTACAGCAGTTAGACGTCTTCTGTAATAAAATTTTAAATTAGGCAGATGATAGAGTTGAGTGATGTCCTAAACAAACATTCTTTGACTTCATAATCACTCTGTTCTTTATGACTTGTGTGTTCTCTCTTTTTAGTTTTGTTCCCAAGACAAACTTGTGCAGCTTTGGCCCTAAGAATTATGCTTACATGCAGGAGCTTTTGTTCAAGGATTGTTTAGGCAGCTGTTAAATATCCTTCATGTTTTAGAAGAGAATGACTTCTAATATACACATGTATGTGGTCAGTAGAAATTTGTGAACTAAAACTAAACTGTAAGATTTTCTTTTCAGAAATTTCCCCACTCAGTGGTGTCCATGTTCATTTTTGCTGCTTTTTTTAATAATTGAAAATTAGGGTCCCTTGCCTAATTAAACTGAAAGGTAAAACTCTTCTAAATCAGGTTTGAATTTCACTTCATGCCTTATTTTTTCCTTCTCTAAACTTTTATCCTCATTATGTTCTAATAATTAGTTGAAGCTTCTGTAACTCAATTCTTTTCAATTTAGTAATATGTTTTTAGTTGAAGTTCTACATCGGTTCTTATATAAATTTAATTCAATCAACACGGGGTTTTTGGACACCTACAGTGTGTGAAGTACTATTTGGGATAATAAGTGATGGATCCATAGTTCTTGTTTTTGATGAGTTTGTAGTCTTTCAGACAGACACGTGCCTAAAGTTTGTACCCTCAATCATGCTTCACATTTTATGAAGGCAGTAAGAATTCTATGTTTTTTTGAGTTAACATTCCAACCTTTGTTTTTATTGGCTGAAAATTTTATTATGTATTTAAGTTGCTAAAATATAATAAAAAATTAACAAATATAATTACTTCTGATGTAATAAGACAAAGCTAAAATAAAGAGTGCATAGACGCACTTCCTGAATTTTCTCTTGCTCTTTCTGAACTTAGGTTAAAAAATTTGTTTTTACTAGAATTCATAACACTCACAAAAATGTTGAATGTACATATTTAAGAAAGGAAAAACTAAGGAGCATTTCAGTTTTATTTGGGCTCAACAGTATTGAAATTGGATGTCTTTGTTCATCATATAGTTGATCCCCTTGGACATTTGTCCCTGTAACAATCTTATCCTCTATTTGTCGCCTCCACACTTTTCTTGCACAGATGGTTTAATAGATGATTCCTATTTTTTTTTTTTTTTTGAGTGAGTTGGTTAAGGTTTGAACTTATGGTAAGAAGCAAATGTAATGGAATATTAGCTAAAGTTTGCTGTTTCTTTTAAAAACATTAAATTTCAGAAAATGGTTTGTAGATTTTTGAAAATATTTATTTCTTTTAGATAGTAACTACTGATTATTTTCTTCTTATGTAACTTTTTATGAAAGCAGAGAAAGAAAGACATTGTAATCCTGGCCCTCAGTCCTTACAACATATCTTAAAAGAAGAACAGTTTCCTTAACCGGAATAACCTTAAGGAAATTCATGAAATTGTGTGTATAAATTACTGGAGTGTATTAGTTTCATCATTTCAGTTGGCCATTGATTTTTTTTACCTCCAAGGAAGGGGTAAGGGGCAGACCAGTGCACTTAACACGGTTTTCACAAAGATGATATGTTACTGTTCCCTTTAAGTATGTACGTTTTCAGTTCAAGGACTGGGTCCTTATTTGACTTCCATAGTACGATTCGTACATCAACCTCCCTGTGTTTTATGTAATGCTGTCTTACATGTAATGCTATAGTTTTATTAGTAACTACAAACAATTCCTCGTCTAAAAATAAGAAGTGAAAAGATCAACTATAGTGTTTGTATAAGCCTTTTGAAATTTTCAAAGAGTTTTCTAAACTTACCAATGACCCTGACTTTTGTCTTTCAACATTTAAGTCAACTAGTATTGTAAATGATGAATGATTATGTTAGATATATTTTTATTAAAAATAATGACCACTTTCACTGCCAAGTATTTTAGGAAAAATATGGAAACCATCTTATTATTAAGCGGAGAAGACAATGGCAACCCTCTCCAGTGTTCTTGCCTGGAGAATCCCAGGGATGGGGGAGCCTGCGGCCTGCCATACATGGGGTCACACAGAGTCGGACACGACTGAAGCGGTTTAGCAGCAGCAGCAGCTTATTATTAAGATCCAACTTGGGTTGACGTATCTTTTTCCTGATTGGAATATAAAGATCCATGTGTGTGTGCATGCATGCTCTGTCGCTTCAGTTGTGTCTAACTCTCTGCAACCCTATGAACTGTAGCCCACCAGGCTCCTTTGTCCATGTGTTTCTTCAGGCAAGAATACTGGAGTGGGTTGCCATTTCCTCCTCTAGGTGATCTTTGTGACCCAGTGATTGAACCAGTGTATCTTGTGTTTCCTGCATTGGCAGTCAGAGGTTCTATACCACTAGCGATAATTGGTTAACATCAAGCCATTTCTACTTACAGAAATTAGGCATCTAAAATTCCAACAGACATCTCCTTATAGCTATTCATATTCTGCATTAAAGTAAGTATGACTTCTGTGAGGGAATTTAATAAAATGTTATATATTAAGTTATACTTTTGTTTTGATCATATATTGCATGTGTTTTATACAAGCCAGGCAGTAATGTCCCTAATGATGCAAATGAAAACGAAATCAGAAGTAAAATGCCTAACAGTAGTAGAGTCAGCAGTTATGGCCTAGAATCTCAAAAGCAAATGTAATACTCGTTTTACAGTGTATAGTAAATGCTAGAATGAGATTTTGTTCTATTTGAGTAACTCTACTTTTTAAATAAACATACTGCATCATTTATCTTGGAAATATATTGCAAACATGGTGAGCAAGACTCCAAGGCAATGTCCAGCTATTTCTTCAATTTTACTGCATAAAACAGTAGAGAATTGACAGAAGTTTTTCTTTTCTTAGAGTATTCCACTTTGCATTTTTCCAAGTTCAAAGGACAAATAAATGACTCAAGCATTTCATCATGACACTGTTTTATAGCATGTCTGACTTTAGGAAAGAGACACTACATACTGAAGGTTTTCATGCATCTTCATGTAACATATACTTGTAATATTTTCATACCTAATTTGACATACACTTTTAAGGGTTTAAGACAATAATTCAGAACAATTACCAGCATTGTCAAAACATAAGTTTTTAGTGGAAGGCAAAAGGAGTCTCTTATAGGTTACTTATAAAAACAGTTCCCTTGTGACTCAGCTGGTAAAGAATCTGCCTACAATGTGGGAGACCCGGGTTCGATCCCTGGAATGGGAAAATGCCCTGGAGAAGGGAGAGGCTATGCGCTCCAGTATTCTGGCCTGGAGAATTCCATGGACTGTATAGTCCATGGGGTCACAAAGAGTCAGACATGACTGAGTGACTCACTTTCACAGGTTACTTATACAGTCCAGTTTCTAGAATATGAAAAAGATTCAAATGCTCAAACTCTCTATGCAGGATGCTACAGCAGAATTCATAGGAGAGTGGATTTAAGAGGGTGTATCTCTGGATAGAACCCAGAGGATCCATAAACTGTGATAGAAAAATAATAGGTCTTTGTTTCGAATAACACCTAGAATGAAACATAGCATTTTATTTATAAATATGGACAACAGATCTGAGTAGCTTTAGCAGTACCTGAGCTTTGTCACCAATTGAACAGATATTTGCATAGAGTATAAATGATATCTTGAAATAATGGTTGATCAAGTTTATCATATGATTAGAACAGTTTTCAAACTATTTCAAAATTAGGGTAATTTTTAACTCTCTTGCTGGATCTTGTTATGTATCAACAAAGATGCACAGATATTACTGCATCCTAAAATTAGTTTTGTACGTATCTAGACACCTGTATTTTGATAAAATTGCTTTCCCTCTTAAGCCTATGCATTTTATTTATTTAAAACATCTGTGAAAGAGTACAAGCTCACTAA